AGACAACCCCGTAACAATATGCGTTTTGTACTGCTGTTACACAGCACAAAACGCATAAAAACTAATGTTCCCTGTCTTTCCCGGAGTACAAACAAATAAGCTAATATTTTATATTTCAATAAAGAACATTCCTGAAACGAAGTATTTTGTGACTTACGCGGTACGCAATTCCAATATTTGAACATTTTCAAGATACTGCTGCAAAACTGACTGCTTCAGTTCGTTTTTGACCTAAATAAGCTGCATATTAAACTTTCAGTGAAAAATCTTTGTCTGGCTCACCGTCATGGAATATATTTGAATGAGTTAGTACAAGGTGATACGGAGTTCATGCGGTAGCAAAGTTTTACTTCCTATTGTTGCCTCCACCTCTCCTCTCTCAAACAGCGGTGGAAAAAGACCGTATTAAATTCAGCACACAAAAAGCTAGAGCAATTTGAAAGTAATTTATTTGTAAATGGATTTCTGGAGGTGGTTTTCTAAGAAAGAACTCTGCTTACTCGATAATTCGGGACAGCGAAGAGAAATAGAAGGAGCGGTAACACAAAAGTCATTACAGTTCTCGATTTCAAGAAGATGAGAAAGCGATTGCTAATGTACAATTAGAAATCACACCTCAGTGATACTTAGCAGGCTAGGAATTCGCTTCAAGCACACTTTCCAATTTGACTTGTATGGAGAAATCACTGTGAGTTTGGCCAGTGTTCGACACTAGGTCATACAGCTGTGACGAGTGAACAAGGAAGGCAAGAATGTGGAGCAGCTGCGCGATAAAGCAGTGGCCTTACATCAAAACTCCAAATGATGCTAGCGGTTTTTGCTCACATATACTAGTCTCATGCAGTTGAAAGTGGCAAAGAGGAACAAAGGATTACTTTCCGCTGCCCCGCAAATTAGAAAAAAGCGCGAAAATCATTAAAAGAAAAAAATGGTGACTGGATTTTTTCCGACGCTATATAATTGAAGAGACTTAGCTGTACTGTTCTACCAACGGGCAGCTGCCGTTGGAAAATGATGCTATTACTCGAGGCCATTAAGCATTTAAATGCTTTCATCGGTTTCAAGAAAAGGTACGGAATCCAGAAAATTTGAAACATTATCACAAAGCTTGATTGTGCACGAAGATCTCAAGTAATTCACCTTTGCATCTGTTAGAAGCAAACAAAAATGGATTCCTGACAGCGAGACAGAAATCGCAATAGTTCTACTTAGACATAGATTAACCAATACTGATTATATTGATACATTTTATTCACTTTTTTAATGACTACTCCACACCCTGCATCACTGATGGAACACAAAAAGGCATTAGGTAAAATCATTCTGTTTTTAGTTCTGATACAATTGCTAACACACTGTTTACTGACCGCACTTAGTATCATCTGCGACGCTTCCCGATACTCATAACGATTGTGGTCCGTGTAGGCTTGATTTGCTTGATTCAGTATGTTCATGTGGCATATAAATGTTCGGCCCTGCAGCTGATCAGTCGGCTGTGGCAGTGTCGGAACAGCAGGTCCGTAGGGCGATGGCACTGAACCAGGATAATACGGCAAAACTGGGTTACTATTGCTTTCAGGCAACAGTGGATTCATTGTCACAAATGGTGTATGTGGCCGATATTTCGTGGATGATCGTGGCAGTCTGATGATGAGCACTAGAAAAAACTTAGGCTGGAGCGCACCAGGCTCGTCGGTGCTATCATACGTTTTTGCAGCAAACTTGAAGTAATCAGGCCGTTACTTACATAAATGGTCGTTGCTTTACTCCAGCCTTGTGCGATCACCACCGCAAATTATCGTAAATTTTGTATAAAGGGAAATGAACAATTTCCGTTTAGCGGTCGTTCCTTGAAAGTAACGTAGCTGTTCAGTGAGCAATTTTCTGCCAAAAATTAAAGTCCCCTTATGCGAGAACTATGCGTATCTGGAGGCTGATTTTGAAATCTTTAAATTGCATTGGACAGAGAAAATCCTATTAAATTTCAACCTTTCAGCTTTTCTGGTTACCGGGTTAACAGTTTTCCTTCCAAATATTTCACACTTTTGTGCTTGAGAACCGCAAACGTCTAGGAGCTGAATTTGAAATAATTAGTTCATGCATGCACAGAGAATATCCTTGCAAAGTTTTAGCTCTCTACCTTCTCTGGTTCGCGAGATCACTTTCCCGCCAAAAAATTTGCACATTTTTTAAGGTGTCGGTACATGGGATCCAGGCACACGCGGGTCATGATATTGAAATGGGAGTGTTGCACATGATGTGGGCACATATCCCGAAGTTTCAGTCCTCTAGATTTTCTGGTTCTCAAGTTAAAAGTGAGTGAAGAAAAGTGCGAACAGAGGACACACAGGCAGCCACTCTCGAATATGCGTCTTCGCGTATACATATATGCAAAAACGCACAAAAATGTTTTTCGCTTGGGGCAATCGATGATTTCTACTTAATTTTTGCCAGATGTTTGTTAGCCACCATTGAAGTTCAAGTTTTTTACGCGTAAAACTGTTCGAGCAGTTTTTTACGCGATATGTTGCCCAAAACAGCGAATGTGAATTTATACGAATTTCTTGAACAACTAAGAGACGCCTGCACTCAGAATCAAATTTGATATTCTCCAAATTGGATAAAATTGTTAAAAAAAGCTGGATAAAATTGTTAGCTCATCATATTCTTACTGTTCAGAGCCTTTGTCCCTATAAGCTTAGTCTGTTATAATACAGCAGAGAAAATCCTGTAGAAATCGAATGCCGGCATTCAGATGATGCGGGACTTTTTGAGATTATAGAAGCATTTGTCGGCCTATTTTGAGTGTAGAAGCGTGCTTTGCAGTTTTTTTTTTTTTTAAATCATAAATTCCTGATATTCGTTTTGCGCTGCTGAAACACCCATTTTGAACCAATAAATAATTTTTTATTAATGCAGTAACTACTCATGGACAAGGTTTTTCTAATGACGGCGTGAAATCTCCAACATTTTCGCACATATCGGTGCCAAGTTGTTGGCAAACGAATCTGAGAACGCTAGAGCAGATGGCATTTCCGGCATCGACTTTGATACCCAACTAGAGCGCATGACTGCTGGAAAAACCATAAAATTTATAGTTTGTTTAAGCAAAATCTTACCTTTCAAAGCAAATGCTACTCCTAAGGCAATTATAAGCAGAAGTAATAGTGTTGAAACAATGACAAGTAGACACAGAAGTCTCCGTTTAGTGCTGCAATCAAAATTAATATTAAGGAGTAAAACTATAATTTTTCTTGACATTTTAGGTTTCTCTATTTAACCCAGGCTGAAACGCACCGGGCGGACCCATGCGATCATATATTTTTGAACCGAACTTGAAGTAATCAAGTCATTAACTGCATGAATAGTTATTGCTTTACACCTCCTTTTTGCGGTCACTAGCATAAATCACCATAAATTTTCCATAAAGTAAATATATAATTTCCATTTAATGGTAGTTCTTTAAAAATAACCTGGTTGTTCAGTCAAAAATTTAGTCAAAATTTTAAGTGCTCGTACGTAAGAACCACGCATGCCTTAAGGGTGAATTTGAAGTACACAAGTTGCATTTGGATAGGGAACATTCCCCTAAAATTTCAGCTTTCTAGCTTTTCTGGTTCCCGAGTTAGTACTTTTCCCGCAAAAAATGTGGTCTTGAGATCGCTTTCCCGCCAAAAAATTTGCACATTTTTTTAAAGCGACCGTACGTAGCACCCAGGCATCCGCGGGGAATGAAATTAAAACGTGAGGGTCGCGCATGTATGGGCACATATTCCCAAAGTTTTAGCCTTCTAACTTTTCTGGTTCTCGAGTTGAAAGTGGGTGACAAAAAGTGCGAATACACAGACACACACACAGCCTCTTCCCAATATGCGTTTTTGCATATATGCAAAACGCATAAAAATGTGCATATATATGTATACAAGCTGTTTTGTTCCATGAAGCGTGAAAGAGGTAGCGATAAATTTTTTCCTTCCATGCTTTTAACAAGGTGTTATCTACGGTTTCAAGATACAACATTACTACATTTCTTCCCAGTACAGCATTACTATATTTCGATCCTAGATATTTTCGGCTTGAATGGCTGCAAGTTATGCGATCCCTAATTTTCATGCCACTCAAACCATCTAAGCCTTCAATTTGATAAAATCACTTTGTCGCATGCACAGCTACGCTCATATCTCATTCCCTGTTCACCCTAAGCGAAGATCTGGATAAGCTCAGAATCTACTACCTGCTTTTTCCTTCAAAAGTAATCACATGCCCCGAGGCAGTGTCTGGCGTAGCACTGTGACCAGCAGAAGTTAAAGCTGACCATCTTGATGTATCCACATATTCGCTGCCTGTTTCAAATTTCCATTTCCTGTGACTGCTTTTTGGACTAGTTGTCAAACCCGTTTCTAAAAAGATCAGAAATAAAAATGCCAATACTATACAAAAGTACCAATTAAAGTGCAACGGGAGTACTTTGAAAAAATTTTAGCTGCGCAAAAGTCAAATGAAATAGAAATCAAATGCTGCGAGCATCAAGGTTGTCGGTGCGATCACGTGTTTTAGGACTGCTTCATAACGTAGCTTGATTTCATTAAGAATGCCTCATAATACAGCCTGATTTTAGTAAGAATGGTGCAATTTAAAATGTGCATTCATCTTAGCAATGTCTTTGGCCTTTTACTGCATGTGAGGGAAGAGCGCCATCGGCTAGGACAGGAGCGCTGCGTTGCTTGGGGTCGCGCGGAATCAACATCCATCATCTATAATTATCACGAAGAGAAGTTGTTGACGACTTTGCACCTTCAATCTCACGTGTCTGTACGCGAGACGTAGACGTTCGTGAAAGATATTACGCCCATAATATCCTAAAATTTTAAATTCAACTACCAAATACGTCTAAAAAATGCGGACAGACACAACAAGGTTCAGATTCAGAGACGTTAGACATTGGCACCGCAACAATTCGAAAACCAGGTAGAGCAGAAAGGTGTAATTTTATAAAATTCTTATGCTTTTTTGCAGCTAAAACACACATTGAGCTAAAACACAGCTAAAACACACAATGCAGAAAATACACATTGACGAGAGGTTGTCTGTATGTGTTGCGCTGCGCGTCTGTACCAAATTTTCAACTCGATACCCACAAAAGCTGCAAGGCTAAAACTTGCGGAAATTAATCTACATGCGCGTATGAGCCCACCTCCGAAATGGGCGGTCTTACCCGCGTGGTACCCACGCAAGAACCCGCCAAATTTTTTTACGGGTAAGCTGCTAACTTGGGAACCAGAGTTGCTTGAGGGCAGAAATTTCAAGACCCTTCCAAGAAGGTATTAGTGGGCTCAAACCCAGCCCCTGGGTAAGCGTGGTACCCGTGTATGGGTCCGCCAAAATTTTTTTCGGGTAAGTTGATAACTTGGGGGTCTGAGAAGCTAGGAAGCTGAAATCTTACGGTGATGTTCCCCGCTCAAGTTTGTATTAGTGAGCTCAAACCCAGCCCCCAGATATGCGTGGTATCCATGCACGGACACACCAGTTTTTGTCGGGTAGGTTGCTAACTCGAGAACTGAAAAGCTAGAAGACTGTATTTTTAAGAGGATGTTCCCCATCCAAATAAGTCTCAATGAGCTCAGTCCCAGACATCGGGTATGCGTAGTACCCAAGTGCGGTTCCGCGAAAGTTTTTTTCCAGCAAATTGCTAACTCAGGAGCCAGGGAAGCTAGAAAGCTGAAATTTTAAGGGGATGTTCGTGCCAGTTCGGCAGCCAGTCTTAACTTGGTTAGCTAGACGCATTTGCCAAAAAAACCGATGCCGGTAGCGACAAAAACTGCAGGGAACTTTGCAGAAAACGCGTCTTCGCACGGGCAGCCCGTGCTTTAGCCAATCATTTTCTGTCCTTATGGGGGCTCGCAAACAAACCCAGGCTGGAACGCACCAGGCTAGCCGGTGCGACTATGCGTTGTTGCACTTTTCGTGCCGTAGCAAGATCGCAAGGAAACAAAGTAGCCAACCCTGTGAAATATTGACCCTCGAAGTTCGGGAAGTTAGTTGTGCAGCTATGTGGTATGTCAGTTGTAGATGTCGACTTCAGTGACCTGACAAATGGAAAGCTGTTGATCCGCAAAAAGGACCGCACTAGAAGAGTTAAATTTGAGATTTTTAACCACACAGGAGTAGGGGGCATTTCCTCCCGAGTTAGCAGTTTTCCCATCGAAATTTCCACGCGTCCGTACTTGAGTACCAGACGGTTTTAAGAAACTGAATTTGAAATCTTTTGGTAATACATGAGTAGGGACCACTTCCGTAAAATTTCAGCTTTCTAGTTTTTTTCGCTCCCGGGTTAGCGATTTTCGCGCCTAAATTTCCACGTGCACGTACGTGGGCCCCGGGCGCCTCCAAACACCTGATTTTGGCCGCACATGGGAAGAACATTGCCCTAAAGTTTCAGCTTTCTAGCTTCTCCCATTCCAGGGTTAGTAATTTTCACGCCAAAACTTTCACATGTAGCGCGCGTGGACCTCAGACGCCTCTAGACAACTGATTTTGGTTGTACAAGAGTAGGGAACATTCCCGTAAAATTTCAGCTTTCTAGCTTTTCTCGTCC